GATCTGTTAGTATTTTCCTCCTTTTATTTCTAAAAGAAAAAAAAAAAAAGAAAAGAAAAAGATGGCCTAAGGGCATCACAAGAAACAGCAAGTCTCCACCCTTTGCAGCCTCAAAACTGCAAAGGTGAAAGACCTTGCTTTGAGAAGAAAGCCGCTGAGCGCCATGTTCCAAAATGGAGGCAGCGGCCGCACCAGGTTCCAGAATGGCGGCAGCATAGAGGATCTGTTCCTCAGAACTGGATTCAGAGTGCCCAGCAATCCTGGCACTAAAACTTGGCTACTGCTCCAGGTGGCAGCAGACCTTGGCATCATCCACGCGGCCCTGGCTTTAGGTGCATGGAGAATGCAGGAGTTCTGAGGTTTAAGAGGCTTCCACCCAGATTTCAGAAGGCCTGAGAGGCCAGGCAGTGTGCCCCTGAGAGGGCAGTATGTGAGGCTGTGAATGTGAAGCAAAAGGTGCACTGGAGACCTCAGAAGTTTAGAAAAGCCAGGACTGTGGATCATCTAAGGAAAGCTGCAAGGAGGGAGCAAAGCAGGCCTAGCAGAGAAGCCATAGGAGCTGTAACCACCAGAAGTGCCACAGGGGTGGACTCATGCAAGCCCTTTGGAGCTCACAATGTGACACAAGTTGCTTCAGATGCCGCACGTGGAACTACAGGACATAACGTTAGCCCTGCTGGATTTTGGACTTGCTTTGGTCCCAATGCTCTGTGTCCCCCTGTTTGTACCTTTTGGAATGGTACTGCTTATTTTGTGCCATTAAATGTTGGAAGTGTTTAACTTTTCATTTGTATAGGTGCTCACAGCTGAGAGTTTGCCTTACATTTTGGGGGAGACTTGGGACTTGGATTCTTCAGCAATGCTGAAACTGTCAGGACTTTGGCAACTCTTGCAGATGGACTAAATGCTGTTTGTATAAAGGGATGGACATGAGTCTTTGGCGGGGCCAAGGGTGGAATGTTATGGTTTATGTCTGTGCGTCCCCCCAAAGCCTCATGCGGCCATGGGGCAGGCTTTGAGTTTGATTACGGGTGTGAGAGCTGCACCCGCCCTGGGGTGGATAGTTAGCATATGTAAGGGAGAGGAAAAGAGTGCTTGAGGCCATTCCTCCCCCATTCCTCGCTGGTGTGTTGCTTGTTGTTTAGCTGTGTTCTGCTGCCCTGAGCTGTAGCTCTCTGGCATGTGCCAGTCTGCCTTGTAATCTGCCAAGTATGGACTGAAACCTCCACAAACTGTAAGTGAAATAAACCTTTCCTTCCTTAATTTTGGGCATCAGGTATTTTGTTCCAGCAACGAGAGAAAAGTAACCAAGACAGTAACCATCACAGTTAAGTATGCCTGAGTTAGTCTGGGGCAGGGTGGGCAGTGGCAAATGCAGAAGAGCCAGCATGGACATCCCTTGTGCCTCTCAGCACATATTTCTGTACCTTGCTTGGATGATGCCACTTGTGTCCTCACACAAGGTCTCATCCACTACTATATCAGCATGTGGTTGTTATCAGTTTACTTTCACCTAAAATCCACATTGTGAATTCAGCTGCCATCAGTGTTCTTCATGTGAGAATATGGGGAAAGAAATAATCAGGTGTAACTGTCCCATCCTTAGCTTCAGTGGAAGCTGCAGAGTTGTTAGCATGAGTCTGCATTGGAAGGCTGAAGAAACTGGGGACCAATGTTCAGAGAGGACGGTAAAGACTGGAGCTTTTTAGAAACATGCATACTTCCCTCTTCTTTTCCTTTTTTATTCCATCTAGGCTAAACGCTAGTCGGCTGATGCCACCCACATCTGGGGTGGGTCTTCTCTCAACAGTTTGCTGTAAAATCAAGTTTCCTGCCTGCCTGTTCAGCTGGGAGATTAGTCTTCTTCTGCCCTTGGACTTTGGTTTATGCCATCAGCTCTCTGGTTCTCAAGCCTTCCAGCCGGAGACTAGAATTACACCACCAGCTCTCCTCAGCCACCGGCCTGCATTTGCCAGATCATAGGATTTCTCAGCCTCCATAATTATGAGCTCAAAAGCACCTCCCTCTCTCTCTTACCTATATATCTTATTGGTCTGTTTCTCTGAAAAATACTCACTAGTCTACTTGCCTTCTAAAGAACCTTAATACTTGCCTTCTAACTAGGTTTGACAAATAAGAAGTTCCAAAAGGATTCAAAAACAGAAGAGAGAACAAAGTATTTATGCCCTTCCCTACTCCTTCCTGGCCTTGGGCTTACTCTACTCCTGGCTGTGTCCTGCAGTTACACCTCTGCCAGGTGGCTTCTCTTTCATGGCTCCAGCTCTTTCTGGGTTCTGCTATCATAAATACTTCTCTGAATTTCCTCTTCAGGCCTAGTGGTGGAATGTGAGGGATTCCTGCCGATGGTGGTCCTGGGTGCTCTACAATCCCTTGTCAGACACCTAAACTGGGAAGATCCCTCACTAGATTCCTTCACTAGACTCTCCCCAGTTAACACCTTTGAGTGTCTCTGTCAGGACAATCTCTGCACAGAAAGTACAAGTTCTGAGACTTTGCAGGTCTGCAAAAAGATCCACAGGGTTGTGGGAGAGGAAGCAGACACTCTCCATATGGGTTGCTAGAGTAATAACAACAGGAGCAGAATTGATTTTCCTTCAGTCTTTTGGAGCTGAAGAGCCACAGACTCACCAGACTGTCAACTGGAAACCCCAGAGGCTCATGTTCTAGAAACAGGCATCAAAGAGAATTAGGCTGATTCTCATTAAAATGGAAGTCCAGCCTAACCCAGATCAATCCCTGATAAGAATGACTGATCAATCTTCAATCCTGGCAGAGCTGAAAGCTCCAATGAGAGATAAAATCATTAGCTGTTCTACAATTACTTTTATATAATAAAAAATTACTAGATGTGGGGAAAAGAGGCAAGACCATGTAACTGAAAACAAGAGAAAAAACAGTTCAAGTCCCGGGATATTTTTTAGGCATGGAAGGACAGTTATCTGGGAATTCAAAGTGCCCAACCTCATCCACATCTGCCAAATATCCTCATTCCAAGCCTCAAAGACCCACTCCTTCCCAACAAACGCCCTTACCTTAGCATTAGAGACCACTGGGACTGTGTATTTAAATGCCTTTATATCTGCAACCCACACAATCAGGCCTTGAGCCTAATCGTCAGCCATGTCTGTCTGGCATCTATAAAAGATAAAAGAGCCCTTTAAGGCTACCACAAAGACTTTCTGTTTATTCTGTACCCATTCCACCCCGAACTTTGAGAGTTCCAGGTGCCAGGGGCTGTGTTGATTTTCTAGCAAAGATAACACATCTAAAGCAGCAGCTGTGATTGGTCACCACCACCTGCCAAAATCTCTGATAATCTTCAGTGACAGTTCAAGTCTCATTTCTCTGCCCTCTGTTCTACTATTGCCTCATACAGGCCAATCCCTGAAGTATATGGCAGGTGACAGGACACAGAGGTCAGCGTCAGGCTCCAGGGACACAGTGCAAAAAGAGAAGGGTGGGAAATAAGACAAGGAAAGCAAACAGGAGACGCAGCACATGCCATGTACCCACTTCTCAGAAAGTTCCTGACAAAAGTGGTTTCTCAAGTGAGAGATGTGACTAGAGAAAGAAAAGAAAGATAAGGATCAGGAAAGAAGGGATTCACAACAGGAGAGACGGGAGGGAATAGCCAGAATGCTGATGAAAGGAGGTCCTAAGACATCCATTCACAAGAGTCTTAGTATCAAGTTTGTTCTGGAGAGAAAGAAACAAAAAAAGTATTTACTGAACAACCACATAAACCACTGCAGAATATGCTACAATGAGTTTTAGAGTTTTTGAGACTGTTTAAGGGTAAATTAGTGATAGGCACATAGAAATCCAAAATTTTAGGGACCAGTGACATGCTGCTTAATGACAAGGATACATTCTATGAACTGCTTCATTAGGCTATTTCACTGTCATCATAGCATGCAGTTTCACCAACTAAGTTGACTACAACAAAATAATCTCATGGGAGCGTAAGATTGCCCATTATATCACAGGCAATACAATCTAGTGATAACACAGTAATATATGCAATCTGTCCCTGGCTGAAATATCACTACGTGGTACACGACTGCCACTATTAGTTATGGGAAAGGGCAAGAATGAAAATGTAACCCTAGCAATGGTATATACACAGGTCACCTCCAAACAGCATCTGTGTAGTCCTCATTATGTGAGCACTAGTAACTTTCCGGTCTATAAACTTATATTACAGATAGGCACTTTACACAATTGTTTTTCCACTCTTCTCTGAAGCTGCCAAATCACCTGGGAGCCCTGTCACAGACAAGAGAGGAGTACCAGTGGCCCCTGGGCCACCTTGTAAGAATCGATGCTTCACAGTTCAGCATCTTGTGCCAGAAGACACTTTCTCCTTCTCTCTCATCAGGAGACCCATGTCTTTTCTAATATGTCTCTCTATATTCTACATGCTCTAGATACTTATCAAGACACTAGGTACATTTTATGAAATCTAAGAACTCATTTAGGGAAAGAAATCTCCATGTTTTTACTGGAAGGTACAATCTGATATTTTGCTTTTAGGTTCAAAATTCTTATTACATTACTAAAATAAAATTAATGGCAACACTTCACCATCTAATTATAAGAGAAATCATAAAGCACAGTTGAATAAGAACAAGATATGTTAAGAATTAACTTACTCGTATGAAATCCGTAAGTGTATTATAAATGAAAGTTCCTCTAGGAAGAAAAAAACAACTTCCAGGACTCAGATCATGGAAAAAGAAAAGCTCTTGTTCCTAGATTGAAACAAAAATATACTTCAAATTTCATCCTTTGTTATTAATATTTCTCACACATACAATACACTAAGAATAAAACATGTCATACGCAGTTACCTTCCCATCTTCTAACAGGCAGGCATTCCAAAGCCCCTCAGCACCTATCTCTAACTATGTGATAAAGCATGTAAAATTACGATTCATATTTATGATTACTTCGCACTGAACGTGGTTTTACTGGCATCTGTTGTTATTTACCGTTAGTTTTCTTATGTGACATTTAGGACATGGATTTCACATCAAAGTAACATGGTAAAAAACTCCAGAAAAGTTTACCGCAGAGGTGGCTTTAATTGCGGATGATCATTTTTGTGGCTGTTCCCTACAGAGAGTCTGCCTGGCACTGAGCACAACATCTAGTTCCTGTCCTCACAGCAGCCCTGCAGACCACTCTGTAAGATACATGAGGGCAGGGAGTTTCCCAGGTGGACATGGGCCCATCACAGATCACAGTGGTCAGTGGCAGGACTCAGATTAAAACCCCTAAAAACCTGTTTTCAAATCTCATCCTTTCTACAGAATGCCTTGCCTCCTAAATATGAAGTGTGTTATCAAGTGTACACAATCTTAAAAACTTTATTCATATATCATGATAAGAAAAGGGGGCAATTTTTTAAATCTTATAAAAGATACAGGAAGGACAGTGCTTAGAAGACATCTAAGGTATTAGCATGAAAGAATGCAACAGCAGTCAATGAATAGCAGCAAAAAAGAAGACAAGGAAAATGAAATATTATTTTTAAGAGTTAGTTGCTATGAGATGTAATCATAAGGCAGCAGAAAGGCACATTTGTGTCTCAGTAGTGATGAGGACGTGAGGCACACCTTTCCAATTTTCCTGTGATCTCGGTTCTTGGCTTCCTCTTGGAACTTTTCCCACATTTTCATCATTTTGTTATCAGGAAAGGATATTCCATAGATCCTCTGCAATGTTTCCATTTCAGGATTGCCCTCCCAATATGCTGAGGAATTCTAAACATCAAACGATTTTGATCAACATATCAAACATTGGGTTACATGTAAAACCACCGTTAATGACATACAAAATTTTCCACTACATATCCACATTGCTAACTTAAAGAAGACTTTCTGTACTGCTGGGAAGAATGTGAATCGATTCTAATTAAACCCTGCCAGCCCAAATCACACTACTGATCAGTAAATTATGTAAAGAGTCTGCTGTGGATTCCAGGAACAAAAAGAGAGAAATGGAGAGGGAGGGTTGACCAGCAACTGTGTCACAAGAGGGGAGCAGAAGAGGCAAGAGGCCCAGGAAAGGGAAGACTGGCCTCGCTGGTCTATGGCTTGGGGCAAAGGGCATTAAGGGGAGAAGCTGTCATATGGGACCACATTCTATATGTGAGAAAACTAAGGCCAAAAAAGGCAAGGACTACGAGTTAGCCCTACACTTTTCGATTGCCAAAGCAATGTTTTCTCTATTACACCATCACATTCCCTTTTGTTTTTTCATTTTCCTACAGGGCATTATTCTCATAGTAGACTGATGTTTTTGCTCACATTAAACAACCCAAGAAAACCAGAGTACACCTGTCTCTTGGATTCTGCAGGGGATTAGTCCCAGACTTCCCAAGGATACCAAAATATATGGATGCTCAAACCCCTCATATTAAATGGCATAGCATTTGCATAGAACCTACACACATCTCTCTGTATAATTTACATCATTCCATATCACCTAATATGAAGTACAGGCTATGTGTACATTTGCTACATTGTATTGTTTAGGAAAGAATGACTCAAAAAACTTGCACATGGTCAAAGTATTTTTCAAATATTTTCCACAGTTGGTTAAATCCAGGGAATTAAAAACCATGGGTAGAGAGGGACAATTATATACAAAGCAAGATTCTGAAATACTGTATGAAAAAGAAATGCATTTTAGCATCTACAATAAGGCTAAATGATAAACAAAGACTATATACAGTTTTCTAATTATAAAAATTCTAAAATACATTACTTTTAATCAAATAAGACTAAAATATTTATTATGCCCATATGTTCAAAGTATAAACATATGACTAAAATCCCCTATCACCAGTTTACCTTAAGTTTACTGCATTTACAAATAAAAACATTAATCCTTACCTTGAAGATTTTTATGCTTTTAATTTTTCCTGTGTGTCTTACATGGGGGCCTTTACAAAGGTCAATTAGTGGACCGCACCTGTAACGAAATACGAGGCACATGCTCACACAGTCGTCGCTTTCTGAACTCCTCATTATAAGCCATATTCTCATCTGTTTTAAGTGAAGGGTTGTACTTATGTCTATGTGGTAAATAAATTTTTAAATTAGGGTCAAGGAAAGAGGCAATTCATGTAGCCTCAGATCCCAGCCTTCCCTCTTTTGCTAAAATTCCAATACCACAACATATCCTCTGAAAGAAAATGCATATAGAGATGCCACTTTTAACTGTCACACCCCTAAAGCTCTCAAAAAACCTCCCATTGTCATAAAATCAAAAAGCCACCCCTCTAATTAATTAATGATGCTCTAATTAATTAAACTAATCCCCCGTACTAATTTTCAGGACTCAAGTTATCTGCAATTTACTCACAACACATTAAGTGGAGATTTTACTTTATAAATGAATGGCAAAAGAAAATAAAAGTAAAAGTAAAGAAAAAAGCAAATGTCAAGGATTTCTTTGCTTGTTTTAAATGCTGGTTTTATGATGAAATGCTTCACTGTTTCTCATTCATTAAAAGAGAATGTGACTTACAATGCAAACTTCAGACAAGAGTTAGGATCACTATTAAAACACTCCAGGCTATAGCTGGGGTTTTGTTTGCATATACAATGAATAAGGATGCCCAAATTTTAATAAGCATGGATTTTTTTCAAGTATAGAAATATCAATAGAGTAAAATGAGAATAATGTAAGATGAAACGTTACTTATCTTAACCAACCTCAGTTGGTTACTTAACCAACTGAAGGAAAATTCAGTAAAGAAAGTGGTGCTTTAACTATCCCAACCAATTCAAAATATTTCTAAAGTTCATTGGTGAAAAAGTTAAAAAATTACAATAAAACTTAAAAAAAGACTGGCTACAGAGTAGTAAATAAAATGATGCTCTAAACATGATAATGTCAACTCTTTGAACAAGCAGGCTTTTAACCCTTTGCTTGAGGTTTTACCTAACACTCAAGCATGCCAAAGGAAGGCATGCCCAATCAATATTCTCATCTTTAAATAATCCCTTAGAAGAAAAGATTTTTTTCCCCAAAATTAAATACAAACTACTCAAATTCATAGGAGAGAAGAAGTGGTTTTTTTTTTTCGTTGTTTTACTTTCAGTTTTTTGAGACAAAGTCTTACTACACAGTTCAGGCTGGTCTTGAACTCACTACCCAGCCCAGACTGGCCTTGAATTCACAGCAATCCTCACGCCTCAGCCTCTCTAGTGCTGGGATTGCAGGCATGTACCACCATACCTGGCAAGAAGTGTCAATGTTAAAAGCAAAAAAGTATCAATCTTGATGTAAGTACAGTTCTTTAAAAAATAAATCCCCAAGTCAAGAATTAGAAGTCAGAAATTAAAAACTTAGCTTATCTTTTCCATATCTTCATTTTTAAAAAAAATTTAAAAAGGTTATAGTAACATTATAGATGAAAACCAGTAAAACCTTGTCAGGTCAAAGCAGAGTGGCAAAAAATAAGATAAATATGGTATCCCACAGCAATGTCAGAGGGTAATGAGCTCATGTTATAATTTAACAGCTTTGCACAAAGGAGATACAACTGTCCTGCAGAGTACAATTAAACCAGGGAACCGTAAGTACTTGACCGAGAGAGTGATGATAGGATAGGACCATGAGGGCCCCAACAGCAGGAACACATAGAAAGGGGGAACAGCAGTTACCCAACGGGGCAGTTTAAAAGGCTGGTAAGTACAAAGGGGCTCAGGAGCCTCATATTAAACACAAAGAACTAAGGGATTCTGGTACTGAGTTCACCTCTTACCATCTGACCCTTCTTCCACTTTGCATTACTCTCCTACAGTCTCCTCACGGATACCCTACTAACACATGAGGGCTGCTGCATTAGGGCTGGGTGATGGAGCGTGCACTATGAGGCAGAAGGTCTCTGTGTAAGAAGAGGGGCTGTGTGGTTCCCACTGCCACGTTAACAAGAATGTGGAGCCGGGCCTGTGATTACAAGTTCAAGCCCACCCCAGGCAACTTAGCAACTTGGCCAGATCCTGGCTCAGAATAAAAGATAAAAAAGGCTAGGAATATAGCTTAGTACATAGGGGTTCAGTTCAATACTCAACACCACTAGGGGAAAGAAAAAAAAAGAATGTGGAAAAAGGAAAGCGAAAGCCCTTTCTTTCTCTAGTATCTCCTCAAAATGTAAGGTACTGAGTTGACAAGTCTCAGCCTGGGAGGAAGATCTTATTACAGCTAACGCCCAGAAAATAAAAATTGAGTCTGTACCATCCTGATAACTACAAAGGAGAAAATAAGAATTTTCTCTTGGGGATAAAACTTTAGGGCCCCTAACTAAAGTAGCAATCAGCTATGAAACTTTACCAATACGCCACTACTCAGAAAATAAAATGTGCTTCTACTGCTAATCCTTCAGCCTCACCATAGAGGGGCTCTAACTTACACACACAAACCTGTACACGGTGGTAGTTGGTGTGCTGACCTTCTCCTTCAGAATCCGGCATTTAAACTTATTGTACTACAAAGAAAGACATGTACATGTTATTGCACAAAATATGTGAATGAAAAAAAACTCTAGTCTTTACAAGAACCAGTGAGGATGTCTCCTGTGTGCAAAGGACACAGGGAGCCACAGCCTAGAGCCACACTGTCCAGTGTGGGCCTGTAGCCCACGTGGCTAATGGACACTCAGATAAGCTGTGAGTGCAAGACCTGAGAGGTTGGGTGTGTGTGTGAGGGAAGATATAAAATGGCTCACTAGTTATTTTTTACACTGGCTAGCTGTTGAAATGAGTTTTACTGGGTCCATTTTTATAGGGTTAAATAAACGTATTAAAAATTAATTTCACCTTTGTTTTAACTTTAAACTGTAGCTGCTACGACAACACATGTGGCTCAATTTGTAGATTCCCTTATAGTTCTAGTGTATAAACTGTTGTAGAAGATCCAGTTTTAACTACATGAAATAAAATTCTGACAGGGGCTGAGATGTAAGATGTATCTCAGTCCACAGGGGCAGTGGAGGAGAATGAGGTGTTTAATGGGAAGATGCACAGCGGTGACGGCTGCACAATGTGAATGTATTTAATGCCACAGAAATGTACACTTAAAAATTGTTAAAATGGTGAATGTATATTATACATATTTTGTCACACAAAGAAGAGTAAATACAATTGGCACTGAAACAATTTGTTTTTCTTTTATAAATTCAAGCCCACAAAACTATGATACTATGCTTTTAAAATGTGTTCTCTGAAATGTATGATTTAAAACTAAAATTAGGAATATACTTAAGGAAACTGGTCAGAGTAATACGAAGGGAATATTAATGTTTTACACAGTTTACTGCAGATAGAAGTCTTGTTTTTGCTTTGCTAGAGACTGAACCCAGGGCCTCAGGCAGGCTCTACAACTGAGCTAAACTCTCAGCCCCAGGTTAAAATTTGAAAATAAAATTAAGAGAAAATGCCTAATTTTGTAGGAAATTATACACACTGTTGAGTTCAGTAGTCAGATTTTTTTTTAGTTTAATAAGGTTAATTGGTTTTATGCTCAACTCTAGAAGCAAATGACACTTCACTCTATAAAATAGAAAAAGTATTCCCTTAGTAATAAGTATTCAAAATTAATCAGATTTACAAACATATATATGAAAATTATATACCTGACCCTTAACCTATGTCCACCTGAAATTTCTTAGGGAACAGATGAGGAGGGATGAGGGAAACAGCACAGGGAGTGACTAGAAATAACCTCACCCAGGTTTCTGAACTGTGGGACAATGTAGTGAGCAAAAGTCGAATTGTTTTTGATGGTGGATGAGCTGGTTAACCGCCTTTATATGCCTAGTAAAAGGGTTTTATTTTAAAGTTTTCCCAGGTTACCTTAAACATGTCCAGGAGAGTTTCCCTGCTGACTTCCAATCTTTCAAAAGGCTGCTTTTCTTTTATAATGGTTTTACATATGTTTTCCAGGGCTGCCAACTCGGTGCTGGACACTGCTCTAAAAAGAAGAGCCCCAAAGAATCAAAACAGGTCTCCGTACACTGTGCGTTGCCCTTCCTCCTCCATGCTAGAGCCTTCACCACTAGTTGATGCACTTTCTACACTGAAATGTTTTATTGTACCAGGGCTGCAGAGAGCCACACACTCACACACATAGCAGGTTTTTGTTTTTTTTTTTTTTGGCAGTGCTGAGGATTGAACCCAGGGCCTGAGCGCTGAGATACATCTTACATCTTCAGCCCTTTACTTTTGTTCTGAGACAGGGTCTTGCTGAGTTACCTTTCAGTCACTCTTGTTGGGACTCACTCCCCTCCTGCCACACTTGCCTGCATGCCATTCCTCAAGTAAGCCACACACACCCCAGAGGCCCAGTTGTCCTCCTCCCAATGTCCGCAAACACCTTGGCAGTTTCCTCAGGGCTTGATTCCCCCTCCATTCTGCTTCAATATCACTCTGCTCTTTCTTGATCACCTGCTTGGCATGGCGCACACCTGCCCACCCCTGCTTTGTTTTCCTCCATACATTCACCATCACGTGATGGTAGATGGCTGTTTGTTTACAGTGTGCCTTCCCTCTGCTGTCAGCTCCATGCGGACAGATGGACTTGATCACTGCTGAGTCCCCAGCACCAAGGACACAGCAAATGAAATGAACGGGATGAATGCTGGAGTGTGGTACCAAGAGATGATGCTGGGTATGACACTGTGGCATGGTAGATTCTCTGGAGTGCAAGACTGGGGAGCTGATAGCCCCAGACGGGGGTTGATGTCACCAAGACATGATGAGAGGTTTGGAACTCTCAGTCCCTAGCTTCAGAGAGGGGACAGAGGCTGAAGACTGAGTTAACTGAACATCAGTGGTCAGTGATTTCCTCAGTTGTGCCCACGTTACTAAGCCACACTAAAATCTCTACATAACATCCCGAAAGCTGCCAGGCTGGTGAAGACATCGAGGTGCTAGAAGGTGGTGCAGCAATGGGGAGCCATGCCCCATTCCACACACCCTTTCCTGTGCCTCTCTTCCTTTTAGCTGTCTGGTATCCTCTGTAACACTCTTTATAATAAGCCAGTAGATGTGAGAAGTGGGCCTTCCCCAGTTCTGTGAGCCAGTCTCACATGTTATTGGGCCCAAGGAGTGGCTTGTAGGAACTGACCTATGACAAGTGGGTCAGAAGTATGAGAAGCCTGGACTTGGGGCTACATTATAAATTGGGGCAGTCTTGTGGGACTGGGTTTAACCTGTGGGGTCTGTGCTAACTGGATAGCTGGTGTCAGAATTAAACTGAATTGCTGGACACCTAGGCAGTGTCCAGAAAGTTAGTGAATCAGTTGTTATATGAAAAAACCCCACACCTTTGGTTTCAGTAGTGTTGTAGATAAATGCAGTTCTTAGTTGTGAGTAAACATTGTTCAGACTGGACCAGCCTGTAGCTACAGACTGCTGCTTGCTCAGCTATGGAGTCACTGAGCAGGGAGGAGGTGACAGGCAAAGGCAAAATGAACTGTATGTGTCCAGGCAAGAGACGTCACGGATCTAAGTTAAGACAGAAGTGAGAGAAGATGAGGACAAGGATTTAGGAGACAAAACTGACAGAACCAGACTAAGCTGCGGGAAGATGGGGTGGTAGTGAGGAATATGAGGGAACTGCATGGGCCCAGGGTTTCAATTTTGGCAGCTGGCAGTATCTTTAAGAGCTATGAGGGGTACAGGGCTAGGCAGCTGCTAATGATTTCAAGCACATGTGAGACTTCTACCACAGCACCTTTGATTACCATGGGGCAGAAGTAACTGCTCTCTAAGAAGTAAGCTGTGATTCTATTCTAATTAGTATCATGCTCTAGCAAGTCTTATATTAGATAAGTAGTACATCATGTCATTCATTCCAGGGAAAAGAAGGAAAACACTGGGCAGTTACCCTTGAATCCAAACTCTTAAAAAACCATTTTCACAAATGGTTAACGAATGTACGGTCACATTACCCAACAGAGACTAAGTTAACATGCGACCATTATGAAACAATGAAACAGGCCACGCATGGTTGCGTATGCCTGTAAGCACAGCACTGGGAGGCCGAGGCAGTAAGATCACTGCAAGTTTTAGGCCAGTCTGGGCTACAAACTAAGTTCAAGACTGGCCCTGAACAGGAGAGCAAAACCCTGTCTCAAAAAAACCAAAAAAAAAAAAAAAGAAAGAAAAGGAAAGAAAGAAGTATAAACACACTCATTTGGAGGCCAGTATTCAGTAATGTTACCTGTCTTCAATGAACATGTCATAGTAAAATCCATTTTCAATGGGTGGGCCATAGCATAGGTGGCCTCCGTAGTAGAGTTCCATGGCTTCACCAAGAATATGAGCACTGGAGTGCCAGTACACCTGCAGGGGGTGGGACAGAGAAGTCCTCAGCAACCAACATATGTCACGTGACATGTTGACACGAATAAGGAGATAAACACCAAGATATCTGAAGGACAATCTTCAATGCCTACTTGGAACAGAGTATTTTCTGGGCCTTTCTCAGCATTCACCCAGAACCACTTGCTCAGGTTGCCTGCTCTGCTGAGCTCTGTGGTGATAGCACAGCTACTCCACCATTTCCTTCTGTGCGTGTAACTATGGGGAATGACACTGTCCACTGCCAACAGCAAGCCACATGGAAATGTGACTAAGTCCCAGAGTGGGAGGACAGCTGAGGAGTGCCAGATGCCAGTTCCCTTCCTTTTCCTCCAAGGTATGCTCTAAGGGCCGGATATGGACAGCCAAGTGGCTGCCTGGGATATTACTAAGTTAAGGAGACCTTGCATCTCCATCATGTCTTCATGCATATTCAGCATGTGACTACGGAAGTCTGCAAGATGACTCAGAAGGCAAAAGGTGTTACCCGGGGAATGCCAGATAGCTTCTCTTGAGTAGCATGTATGTACATGGTTAAGTCATTATAGTGCTAGGGTGGGCTATCGGCCCTTCAAGTTCATAATGTGGATTTGGCCTCAAATTCCTAAGGAATTAGATTTAGTTTATGGGCAACTAAAGTTACATTAGCTGCGTTTATGATAAAGAATCTGTGTTAGTTTATGGACAAAGTAAAATGAATCAAGACACCAAAAAAAAATGTAAGTGCCAAAGGTGAGAGGCAACTGGTCCACTGGCAGCACCTTCTTTCCCTTTCTTAAATGGGAAACATTACAATTAGGAAGCTGTTTGATAAAATAAATTGGAACAGAGGGTGTTAGGCAACTGAGCAGCTATGTACAATCTTGACCCAAATAGGCTGGGACATGCACTGCCAACAGACCCTGAGCGACAGTCCTTGGGACCAGCACCTCTCCTCTGGATGCTGTGAGGATGCACAGGCTGGCTGCCAGCATCAGCTCAAATCTCTCTGGGGCACTGTACACATTCAGGTATTTGTTGAGCCAAGCACTGTTTTAGGTGCTGGGGAGACAAGTGTGCCACAAATATACATAGCCCCTGCCCTCAAGCACTTACAGCCTACTGGAGTACAGACAGGTGAGGGCTGTCTTGGTTACTTTTTTCTCATTGCTGGGACAAAATATCTGATGCCCAAAATTAAGGAAGGAAAGGTTTATTTCGCTTACAGTTTGTGGAGGTTTCAGTCCGTACTTGGCAAGTTATAAGGCAGAGTGGCACATGACAGAGAGCTACAGCTCATGGCGACAGAACACAGCCAAAGCAACAAGCACACACCAGGGCAGAATGGCCTCAAGCAGCCTCTTCCTCTCCCTTACATATGCTAACTATCCACCCCAGGGCGGGTGCAGCTCTCACACCCATAATCAAACTCTAAAAGCCTGCCCCATGGCCGCATGAGGGTTTTGGGGGACACCCAGACACAAACCATAACAAGGGCACAGCCAGAAGATTAACAGGGCTCAATAATAAAGAATAATAGTAAAGATCCTACATTCCCAGGGCTGCAGTCTGGCCTGTGTGGCTGATGTGTAGGGGATAGGACAGAGGTGCTTGGAAAGATGGAGAGGTAAGGATGGGCCAATGGCCATGTAGCCCATGGGAAGAAGCACAGGTTTTATTCCAAATACAACGGGAACCATTTGTTTTAAGCAAAAATAAATAAATAAAACAAACTCAACAAATATTTTGTTTTGCTTTTTTCAGACAAGGTTGAAGCTGACCTTGAACTCACTATGTAGCCCAGACTGATCTCAAACTCATGATGATCCTCCTAGCCTCAGCCTCCTGAGTGCTGGGATTACAGGCATGTACCATCATGCTGAATTTGCCAGTTTGTGTTTTTAGAATGCATGTGAATGGATTTCAGGGGAAGAAAAATAGCTTCTGGGTCAGTGGCATAACAAGCCAAGGGCATATTTGTATGGGCAGTGGCCATGGACCTATAGAGAAATAGAGAGGTTCCAGATGTTAGTGAAGTCCAATCTACTGGGCTTTCTCACACACTGGAGACCAGACTAGTTAAAGAGCTGAGAGTCGACAGTTTAGAGACTTGAACCTTCTCAACCACTTTTAGACACAGTACAATTAACATTGTATGATTTAGCTATTTCACTGTTATACCTCACATATTTTAACCAGAAATTATGACACAGTTCTTGTTTACATGAAAAAATTAAGAAACTTAATATAAGCATAACAGTTATGTAAGCTAAGCTAACCATGGGTTGAATTTTTATGAAGGTAATGGGCCACTTGAAAGGGAACTGCAAAATTAAGGTGACAAAGTATGTCACAGACCTAAATTAAAATGTTGCATTTATTTTATAGAAAATTATATAAGTAAATATTTAAAGAACGTTTGAGTGTTCATAATTTTTTCCCAATTCTCCTACGCATATTATATTATAAAATAGAAGCATTTTTAAATGTTTAATAAAATTCATTTCAGATAAACACTGATTTACTGATTTAATAGCTAGGGCATTCTAACTTAAGGAAATAATTGTTTTAAGATATGATAAATATGGACTAATTAACTATATATCTATACATACCTATATTGATCTATATATTTGCATATATACATTCCACAAATGCTTACTAAATATCTATTAAACATCATTTCTAATTTTAAATCTGAAAAGGCAAAACAGTCCATCATTCTTGACTCTGCTCTCTGGCTTCTTCCAAACGTAGTTTACGGTATAAATCCCCAAAGCTTAGTAGGTTGGTTTTTAAATACTTACAGCTTGAGCCTCCTCATTATCAAACATGAGCAGCTCGAGAGTGGAATCTCCTTCCAACGGGCGGTCGAGGTCCCACAATTCCCCATTCACTTTGGCTATTACTGTGTTTTCTGCCAGCTCTTGACTAGTAAGAGAAAAGCCACCTGGGAGTTAACCTTATTAGAAGAAAAGATTCAAAAAATTTCTGGGGTTTTTTTTCTTTAAAATGGACAGAATGTACAAATGTAAACTAACAGGACAGTTTTATCTTGTAGCAATTATTTTCCATGTAACATCTATGTTTAGTACAAAATTCTTGGAAAATAAAATAAAAACAACAAATAAAATTAAAACCACATATAAATTTCATCACTCAGAAATAACTTGGAACACTTTGGTATATGACTACCCAGTCTTTTTTTCTGCACTGGAAATTACCCTCCTCCTTTTAAGAAACATGGCTGCCACCATAATTTCATGGCCTCTTTGTCCACCACCACGCCATCAGGCAGACTTCCACAAGCATATTCATAGTCTCCAAGAAGCATATTCACTAACGAGGCCTCCATATCTGCACACTGAAGCCCCTTTTAGTTTTGCTGTCATAGAGCAGAGGGCAGACATTCACCACTTGTACCTCTGCATTTTCTGTGAGTAAATCTGTGAAAGCAGAAACCACTAGGTTAGTGTGCCCGAATGATTTCTGACAAATATCACGTAAGTGTATCTCCTCGCACCATGAAGATTTTTTAAACCTTTGTCAATGTGATATTGAAAATTATTGTTTTGATTTCTTTAACGATTAATTTTAATTTTGATGACTGGTCCATTTCCTTTGGCTATTTTTTATCGAAGTATTTGGTTTTTTACTTTTTTTGGTGTATCTTTTAAGTATCACTTACTGTTTGAAAATTATTAACAAAAATAAAGTTAAGAGAAGAAACCTGGTAAATACAGAAAATGACAAAGAAAAAAAAAATCACCCACAATCCTACCACCTAGAAATTACTGTTAATGTTCTGCTCTGTATTTTTCTGCAACTTCTGATATACACATCAGTATAAATTACTTAAGAGCATTATTCTGTATTTTGTATTCTACTTCTTAAAATCAACAATAAATCACAGCATTTTCCTTAACAATAAGCTTCTAAAATGTGATTTAATTGTTGCAGGGAAACCAAGACTTGCTGAGCATCTTGTTCCTTGTGGGTGTTGTTGTTGTTTTATTTGGGCAATTACCATGTTGCAATGAACATTACTGAGCAAACATCTCAGTACCCAATTATTTTCTCAGGAAAAATTCTTGAAGTAAAACTACTGCATCAAGGAAAATGCATTTTTAATATTTACATGGGAATTATACTGCCAAATTCTCCTAATAGCGAAGGTGCAGAAGTACCCTGTCTCTGCTCTTTAAGCACTATGAAATAAGATCCTCTCCACAATGCAATGTTTTAATTGGCATTTCGGTGATTAACTTGAATAGCAGTACAGCACCATGGGTAACAGTCCATGCTCTGGCATGAGGCCAACCAAGATGAAACACTGGACAAATTACTCAGTTTCTCTAAGCTTCAGTATTCTCATCTACAAAGTGGGGATTATAAGAGCCTCCTCACATGTATAATGAGGATTAAATATGATTATATATGTTAAGAACTTAATGCTAGGTATTATTATACTAAAGTAGAATAATTTTCATGTTGGTAGCTGTCATTGAGAAGTATCCTTCAAATCCACCCTTGTCTTTCTCTACACTAATACTCTTTGAACCTTCCCTGAAGTTAGATGTGGTCATGTGCTCAGGACAGCAGCCAAGCAACACAAGCAGAACTGAGTGGTGACTGTATCTCAGCCTAGAGACACTGGAGGATGCTTCTCCACTCTCTCTCCACCTTCTGTGGAGTGAAGCACATAGGTGCTGTTAGCCCTGGACTTCAGAGATAAGTATAATGCTGTAAAGGCCCAGTCACCACTCGGAAGGAACTTAGGTCCCCAAATGACCGGGTGTAGAAGTACTGGCCTGCTAACCTGGACCACCAACCTCCAGACTGGCTAGTGAGAAAGACTCTGACAACATTTAAGCCACTGAGTTTTTTGTGGTGTCTTTGCTGCAGCATCTAAGCCTATACCTTAACTACTGTAGCAATAAAGACCTGCTAAGTAATAAAATATGCTCACTGGCTTAGTAGTGGGACAGTGGGCTGCAAGAAAATACTTAAGATGTAGATAGCCAATACCCTTGTTAAGGCATTACAAAATATTTGATAAAAACTTGCAAGACAAACCAAGTGTTATAGCAGCACATGAGGAAGCAGATACAAGCAGGTAGAATGCTGGCATACACCGGCTAACTCTTGTTGCTTTCAGCAAGATAACACTGGAACAGGATAAGCTCAGCTGCAAATTATCTAGGTCACAAGGAGGGATGGGACTGGGTTTTCCACGGGAGGCTTCCTCTCCCTGTGATCTAAAATTGAACTTGACTGAGAGTTCAGCTATGTGGAGCTGGGCATAAATGGAAAGACGGTCTTCTGTTCTGAACTGCAGGAGGGCTGGGCACTGACAGCCCTTCTCAAAGGCCACTTGTAAGGACACACAATAGGGGAGAGAGGAACTGTGAGAATTAGAGAGCAAAGGTGCTGCCCTCCCACACGTCGCTGTTTCGTATGATCTCAGTCCATTCAACTGAGGGAAAGAGGAATAAGCCAACCACAAAAGCCACGCAACAAATGGGTGAGGAGTCTGTCTAGAAGGATTCTTTAAGGGAGATTACCTTCATGTGGAACTGATTAGCAGCTAACAGACCAGAAGCCCACTACAATGAACTGTCTGAGGGAATCACATCGCCAATCAAACTACAAGCCCCTCTTACAAATAGCTGAGACCCTCTGCCCTTTACAGGGACCTGGAGCCCCCAGGAGTGCACCTGCAAGCCCTGGGCTGTGCATAATGTACAGCCCGCAAGAGGACAAACCTTCCTGCACTTTAGACGTAGGAAACAACTATGAGCTTCCCAAAGACAAACTGAGGGCCTACAGAGGGCTGTCCGGAGACCAGAGAGCTGCTTTCAGAGAACAGAGGGTGACCAGACGGCTGACTCAAGCACTAACTGTGGGTGTCGCCACTGCTGTGGGCAGAATCCAGTGCTTTCTGCGCACCACGTCTGCTGTGTGTCTCCTCTTCTTCGGACACTTTAACTGTGACTGTCTGTGTCTGCAGCACACATGTGTGGTATGAGCAGACTCATTTGTTAGTCTGTTGTTGGGATGCAGCAGTCAGTGATGGGGCATTCTGCACATCACTTGGAAATCTTGATCTTTACGCAATGTATGGTGCCTGATACTGCCTCACCTGGGTAAATGTAAGATACTGGAAAAAGATCAACCACAGATAGCTGATGCTGGAGGGGTGGACTGGGACAGACTGCCCACCATCCCCTAAGCCATTCTTCTTCAGTGGGACGCGTGCTGGTCAGTAGGAGCTATATTTCCATTCTCTTTTATAGCTAGGTGAGGCACGTGACTAAACGTAAGCTAAGAGGACATGAGTGGAATCTGAAGTATGCTGCTCTGACAACTCAACCCTGAAACATCACTGTTCTTCAGCCTTCCTTTCCATCTGCAGGCAGGTCTGTGGATGGAAACTGGCTTCTACTCCTAGACATAAACAAGCCCTACCTAGGGAATGAAAGATCACCAAGACAGACAGAAGCTGGGTCCATAAATGACTGCACAGACCAGAGATGTCCACCAGTGTCTACTGGCCACTTTTAGACAGTTGTGAGATAATCTGATGTCTGTCTTATTCAAGCTACTGTCTTTAGAGATCTCTGCTGGAGCAGTTTAGCCTAAGTCAGTAGCTCTTAAACTTCAGCTTGCATCAGAAGCCCCTGAACGGGTCATGAAAAGACAGCTGACTGAACCAAGAGGTTTGACATAAGGTCCAAGAATTTGCTTTTTTAACAGGTTTTCAGGTGATCATGATTGTGCTGGCCTGGGAAGCACACTTTGAGAACCACTGACCTAACACATTTAACAGGCAGCCTGACTCCTGGAAAGAAAATATAAACTTATGTTTACTTCAAAAGTCATTTTATCCTCCCACATTATCTCTCCTAGAAAACACGGAAACAAGATTGGGAAGACCATTAGGTACATGATATGACAGGATGAAACAGAAAAACAACGTTATCCATGTTTTTCAAAAGAAACCTGAACTGTGGAAACAGTTTACTTTTTAAGTTTACTCACATGGAGTTTTGAGCTATTGCTTCCATATAATGTGACTGTATTTAATACTAGAAATTAACATTGATAAAAATACTGTAACTTCACTAATGTATCTAATTTCCAGAAAGGCCAAAGTACTAATCTAGGACTGATAATAGCTTTGACACCTAAATCTTCAATCTATAATTAAAGACCTATAAAAATTCATGAAAAATACTTCATGATGAATGTGATAGTTAAGCTTAATTATCAACTTGGTTGGCTTGGGGGCTGCATAGAGATTAGTAAAGCCTACTTTTGGGTGTGTGCGTCTAGGTGGGCCATGAGGATACAGCCTCGGAGACTAGATTTGGTTCCTGGCCTCCCTCATCTCTAGTACTGATCCCTGCTTTGCTTCCTGGCCACCATGAACTAAGCAGCCTTGCTTCGCCACACCCTTCCACCATGGTGTTTCCGCCTTGGAGCAGCCAACAGGGATCAAAACCTCTGAAATCATGACCCAAATAAGCCTTACATCTCAGCAGTGGGAAAGCTGACCAACACAGTGAATAAAGTCAGTCCAGTAACATGGCCTGTAAAGGAGTACTGATTTTTTCCCATGTAGTTTTACTGGAACTTTAGACTTTAGAACTTTTAATATGGAAGATATTGCGTTCTGACATTTCATTACTTGTTTAAATGAGAAGGCAGAGAAGAATGTCCATTACATTTAACTTATTCTCCTAAACAAGAAAAAAATATTTTGGCTAAGAAAACATTTTCAAACTATGTACGTGTGTGTGTATTTATTTATTTACCTGATCTCAGCAGCCACTTGGTAAGGCGTTGTTTTCCACACTTCCCCTCTCACTGTTTTTCCATCAGCCATTCTCACTGTGATCACATTGCTTGTATTCTCCTTTTTTTCATAAATAGAAAGTAAGTGCTGATGATCTTTCTTCACTGTTTCAAATAGTTGCAATCTTTCTTTTATGAAATTTGGTTGTTTCACCTGAAAATGGTTAAAATACAATGAGGTTAAACACGCACAGCCCATGCTACTGCCAGCTACTCAGCTCTAAGTTCCACCCCTCAGTGCCTTCTTAGAATACCCAGGTCTAGTCTCCATCTCTCTATACCCCCCTCTGAAGACTCCCCTGCACTTACCTAACTCCTTCCTAGCTCTACCGACCCAGGCCTGACTCAAAGTGCACCTCCTCTGACTACCACACCAGCAACGCTTCCCTTCTGCACTGTTTACAGCACGTGTATGAAGAACCACACAATACAGCATTTATTTATATACAATATCACTCAACAGCCACGGGGACTTGATCACTGACCGTGGACACCAAAATCTGAGGATGCTCAAGTCCCATACATAAAATGGCATAGTATTTGCATATTAACCTATGAAATCTTTCTGTATACTTTATCATCAGATTATGTAAAATACCCAATACAATCTAAATGCCACGTAAATAGTTGTAATATTGAGTCACTTAGGGAATAATGATCCAAAAAGGCTGCCCATGTTCAGCACAAAAGCATTTTTTTTTCCCATTTTCAATCCACAGTTGGTTGAATTCATGACTGTGGACCCTACAAATACAAAGGGCCTCCACACCACTCTGCCCTCATTTTGCCTGCATATGTCTGAACTCCTTAGCAAAAGCCAGACTGATCCATTTGCGGTAATATACTACACCTTTCTTCCCATCAAGTGTTAATGCTCAAATAATACTTTCTGGTTGTTTTAATAATTCATACTTAAAACACAGAGTAGCGGGGCTGGGGATTTAGCTCAGCGGTAGAGCACCTGCCTAGCAAGTGAAAGGTTGTGAGTTCGATTCCCGGTACTGGAAACTGCCCCCTCAAAAAAAAACAGAGTAGCTTGTTTCCTTAACACAAAGGAAGAGCCTTGCTATCTCAATTTAAATAGACTACAGAGCACTTTAAGCTATGTGGCTAACTCTTGCCTCATATCTAAGGTTTTAAATATGCTGTGTCCCAAATAATAATTAAATTAGTAATTGCATTCTTACCAAAGATCCTCTGTGCACACTTTTAAAATTACAGGTGGTATTTTGTATTATTTCCATACCAATGACTTACCTCACTGTCAAGCCCATTTTCTTTTAATTTCTTCTTTTTAGTGTCCTTTTCTTGGCTTTGACTAGGAGAAGACTGAAAAATACATTATAAACCACTTACACAATTGCAAGTAAGAGCAACACATCCGAAGCTGAGGAAGGAGGGGCCCCCGCTAGCAGTCTGCAAGTGCCACCACCTATCACCCTCAACAGGCAAGTCACTTTCCAGGGCTCAAGCCTTCTTGTCTATGCATTTCATATTCTTTTGTTTTGTTTTGTTTTGTTTTCCGGTACCGGGAATCGAACTCATGACCTTGGGCTTGCCAGGCAGGCGCTGTGCCGCTGAGCAAAATCCCCAGCTCCGCATTTCATATTCTTGGCCATGCACACTAATCCTTTCAAAACTGCCCCACTACACTTTAACAGATAGTGTCCCTGGGAAAATGCGTGACTGCTATCAGACACTTATCGACGCACTACTTCACAAAGATGCTGCTGGTGTCCACAGTTATCACTTGGCCAAAAACTGAACATGCCCGTCTGAGGTCTTGAGGGCTTAGTATGTTACAGGAAGATACCTTTTCCCTTAGTGATCTAAAATATTAAAATACTGTATTAAATAATGTGAAATATATAAATCTCCTCTCAAGACAGACCATCGAAACAAGCAAACAAAGCAAAAGCACGTGTCCGACGAACCAGCCGACAGAGGAAATCGAAGCTGTTAATATTTCTGGCCCAGAAAAGAATAAGGAATTTTAAATATCCCAGTGATTTTTTCCCACAAACGAAAATGCTACTTCTGCCACTGAGAAAACTGTGCAGCGGGTTATCTGCTGTAAAGCGGGGGAATTAAACCCCTGAGGTCAATTTGACGCTTGCTGGGAACGTAGCTGTTTCCAAGCCCGGGTCGGACGCGCAGACCCCGGCAGCAGCGCGGGGCGCGGGGCTGGCCGCAGGCGGGACAGGCGCGGCGGGG